ACGGGCGCAGCGCAGGCGCGGCCTTCCGGCCGCCTCCAGGTCGCGCACCGCCCACTCGCCCTCCGCGCACGGCCCTCGCGTCAGCGGCGCCGCCCTCGCGCCGTCGGGGAACGACAGCCCCTCGAACGAGGCGCACTGGTGCTGCAAGGCGGCCGCCACACCAGCAGACGCACCTGGGGAGCAGAATATACAGGAGCTTCAATCCTCCTTGCTCGTACAGGACCCTGTGTTAGAGTACAGTTAGTTCTTTATTCACCAAGGACGTTATAAGGGTTTTAATGATCGAGAGGCGACTAAAACCCCAACGACCTTTGTCCTGAGACTGTTTGTCGCCAGAGATCATTAAAAGCAGTTAACGCCCGTGGTACATACGATATTTTATTTTTTAACTAGTTTTCTTCTTAGGGCTTTTTCCAGCCGACTGCCGATTACCCTTTGCGTCCCGAAAGGACGCACATTTGACCATTCACTAGATATCAACACACTTTGCGGGTTCCTCTGAAATGAGGTCAGTAAAACGCGAGGCCCTCCGTGACAACACCTACATGAGAGACAAGAGACAAACAAGCATGCCCAAGGCGGGACTCCAACCCGAGACATTTCGGACCGAAGCGCTGAGTCGACACACGCTCTAGTCACCTCGGGCATCCAGATCGATTTCCTAATTTTAATTATTCATATTTTCTAAATAACTAGTTAATTTGACTCGGTTTGTCTTTTCATATTTGCCTCCCATAACATATTTCATAATTTCCTCCTAGAGAACATGTAGTTCAACTGTTACTGTATCCAATATTGAACTGTTTTTATATTTCCCTCTTCATCACGGTCCTCTCGACCCAGGTTTATGCAGTGAATTTCGAGCTCCGTATCCAAGGTAAAAACAAGCAATAACGTATCTAACGTAACTTTGAGAGATATATTCATTTATACCACGCGGTTTCGCCGCATAGATGCAGATGTTCTTCTACATTATCGCCTCTCAAGATGTCAGTACTGTCATAATTGTTAAAGGGTGTAGAATTTGTGGCTGGTTTTGACGATTTGTTTCGTAGGTATGGAGAGCGATTTTCGAGAGATTATAATTGAAGCAGCCGAAGCTGCTACTGAGAGTTAACTTCCTCAAAAATCGAAGGATTCATACGAAAGAGAGCATGCACTTTTTTTAAACGAGAAAGAGAGAAACATGTAACCGTGGTAAATGAAATGACTATGCTGGCTTATCTCTATGAAAAGATATTACTTCAATTTCTGTTGACAGTTCTAGCAAGAGCGCTCAATGCATGGACAATAACATTTGCACTCATATTTCAGATATATCAAGTTGTATTTTTAATATAATTGTTAACAATAAATTTGTTAAAACATTCTGTATTCTAAAAATAATACTTATTCATTGCCAATGTGTCAACAGTCATTTATACATTGTCGGGTTTACTTGACGTTGCAGTGGTAATCGTCCTCTAAAATTCATTCTTGGTCTAGGCCGCCAAAGCTCACCTTTGTATAAATGCTCTGCCAAATGCGGGTTTTCAAGTGAGGATTTGGAAATTTGTCATTAATCATTTTGTGCGTAATGGTCAATGGAATATTACATTAAAAATATTACAATATTACATATATACCTACCGAGTTGTTGTTTATGTGACTAATATGAAAGAAGAGAAAAACTATATTTAAGTCTTGTTTAATATACTTTATTATTATTATTATTATTATTATTATTATTATTATTGTTATTATTATTGTTATTATTATTGTTATTATTATTTGCATATACAGCCAAAATTTGCATTTTCATCTTGCGTGTCTTGGGCTCTACCCGTGTTCGAAATGGTTTTCTCTGCGTGAACGCAACATAAGCATCAGTGCCGCACGGCCTTTGTGACGCGGATGATTCTGATGGGTTGTCCCATTATTTCTGCCGCCATGCTTTCACCACGCCGGAAATCTTCACGATCCACGACTTCTTTAGGATAAATCTGATATATCTATAACCAAGAAAAAGAACTTCTTCGGATTCAGATCCGGAGACCGAGGCGGCCGTGTTATTGAATCTCCTTGTCCGATCTACCCATGTCGAAATTGCATGTCTAGTTATTTCTGAACGTTGCGATACATTTTTCAGGGCTGCGCCATCAGACTGTTACCACGTATGTGGCCACATATTAAACGGGACAGCCTCTAAAAGTGTAGGGAGTACATGAGTTATAAAATTTAAATACAGAACTCCTCACAAGCACTCTGTTAAGAAGTAATGACCGATGATAAATTTCTTGGATAAATTCCTTGAATAAATTTATTAAACGATAATTAATGATATGATCAATGCTAATTAATTTATTGAATGATTTATTCATCTTAATTACCAACCCACACATTTACAGAGAATCGCTCTTCATGAGCTACGCTTCGTGCAACGTGTGGATTTTCCTCGGCCCAACACACAAATCGTGCAGATTAATTGTGCCAGTTCTTGTAAAACACGTTTCAGTTGTCCCAAGAACGTGTTTTAGAAATCGCTGGTTTTCCTTGCATTTACGAAGAATTCAAAATGACTTTATAAGTCTGTACTGGATTCGCTAGAAATAGAATAGTCGTTATCTCTCAGCATGATTTGTTCGCCCGACGTCGGATTGTAATGCGTTGACTTCGCTATTTCCCTTGCGATCGCTTCCGGGGCTTCTCTGATAGTATTAATAATTAAGTTTCCCAGAGACGTGACAAGCCCAAACGTGAGGTAAAACCGCTCGTTTACTTGCCGAAGCCAGTGTTACACGATCACAATCATAGTTCAACGTTTAACGTTAATTATTTACGAAACTAAACGTCGAAAAGAATTTTGGCAAATTCCATCTGTGCAATACTTATGGGATAAGGTCCCGGCCAACCAGCTAGTATATACTACATAGAGTGGCAGTCCCTACATTTTCAGCGGTCTTGGTGGAGGCTCTCCGAACTAGTGGCCGCCATGTGTTTTGAAGTGAAAAACATACGAGTGGCGGTAGAACCTTCCGCAACCAGTGCCAAACGTAATGCTAGAATACTTTGTTTCTCAGAAAGCGCTGCTATGATAAATTGTATTTATTATGAAGGAGAGTTCCTAAAATATGACTCGCTGATCTCTTGCCACATGATCAAAGGCCACATGCCGAAACTTGCTGTAAAGTTTTTAACGAAATGTAGGCGAAAGAAAGTGCAAACACAAAATTTCTCATGTTCATATTCGATATAAGTGTTAAAAAAATATTATAGATGCTATTTTTTTCTTTATGGCGCAATAACTGGAAAAGTTTTGGTAGTTTTAAAATTATACATTTCTCAATACAATTTACACACGTGATATTTTTGTCAATTTCTTAAATATCTAAAAATTAAGCGAAAAAATAGAATACATATTTCACCCAGAAATTCTATCTATTAAAGTCAGAAGGTTTAGTGTAGTTTTTGTAATTTTTATTTCGTATTTTCAGAAACCAACTCTTGGCCGAAGGTATTACTACGCTTTCCTCTTACGAGGCACTAAAAACCAGCGTTGTAAAAACGCACGATTCCAGACTTTTCCTGTAGTAATAGCCAAGGTTTTTTTTGAAATAAAAAAATAAATCATCAAATACATAAGAGTAGCTGAAATTTTGTTTGTGCACTTTCCTTTCCATTCGGGTATACAAATTCAGGGCATGTTTCGGCATGTCGCAAATGACCAATTACTGATTAGTTCGACTGAGATTCTCCGGATCATGCAACAAATTTCGTATGGTGATTTGGAAAGACATCAAGAAAACTGCTGTACAGAAAGCAACGATGGTAGGGATCAGAAAGAGCCAGTTGTGACACTGAAGTTGACTTTACAGTCTGAAATTGTTTGTAAAAAAAATTTGAGTTCATACACATAACAAATTTCTAGTAGATCGTTTACATTTCTTTTACGAACACCATGCTAAAAAAGAATTACAGTATTTTGCTTTGCTTATGTTTTCCTTAAATTTTTAATTTTTGTTTCGAAATATGAATGCATAGATACTAATCCACAAAAAATAATGAAATGAAATTCCCATAATTTCCTCTATGTATTATTGGTGTGTCTTTTAAGTCGATAGTTGCCTTGGTGTAAGTAATTAATTCATGAAATGTTTAAGCTCATTCAATATTTAAATTGTTTTATTGTCTGTACGTTCTAATATTCCATATTCTGCGTACGTACTAAAACAGTAAAAGCACACGCAGTGATTCTTATTTTACCTATAATTAACATAACGGTAGTGCCAATAACTTATCAGTGTCAACCATTGTAATATAATAATATTTAAATATAATATTATAATATAATATTTAAATACAATAAAGTATTATAATCTGAAATTTGTACTTTAAAATATTATATACTGAAATTGGACATATCAAATTTTGATTTTCGATAAACAGATAAGACACAATGCACATGCGACACACAAGCGACATGCACCTCGTAATGGATGGGCCTGATAAAGATTGCGACCACGATGTTGGATTAAGAATATAAAAGGTGCAGAAGTTTAATTTCGGTAATTCAATTTTTTATAACTATTTCAATGATAACGTCGAAAAATCCACATACATTTCCTTTAGATTGTAGTTCCCAAACTGCACCATGTTTGTAGTTAACAAATTAAATAACATTTCAATATGAAATGTCATATTTTTCTATTGGCGACGTCAATCACGTTTTGAACGTTTCTGTATTCCATGGACAAGAGAGTTCGATTTACTTAACAAAATACCGCGAAATAATGTTGTCCAACGCTCTAACATTCAGAAAAAATATCATTACACTTTTTGTTGCAAATCCTAAATATTTTTTAAGATTTTGCAGGGTTTTTTTCTCATTTGGCAATTTGCTACCTATTCCTATCAAACAGTGAAGGCCACACTAGAATGTAGTTCTGATTTCTCTCACCTGGCGCAGACGGCGTTGCGGGATACGCCGTTGCAAGCGGCGCGAGTACAAGCCACAGCATTTCCTTCCACGCGAACCCACACGCTCGCTCGGCTAACATCGCGTTGCATACTGTCTTGCCGGATCCTCAGGAAGGTCGCTGCTCCTTGACAGCGCATGCGCCGGCTGAACCGGTCACGTGGTTTCTTAGGAAGCGGCAGCGGAACTTGCGAAGGAAAACTCAGACGTCTCCTACCCGGTAAGTCTATGTCCTTGCGATGTCTTTTGTCGTGCAATTTTCTGTATTCATCAATGGAGAACAATAGTCACAGAGTTTATGCGTTTTGCTTTCTTGGAAATTAAAGACATGTGGAAATGAATTTTTTAAAATTATTTTAAAGCTTTTTGTTGAGAGAACGGATCAAAAAAATACATTTTATTTGTATTCCTGATTGTTATGCGTATAATAATTGCAATAGTTATTATAATGTATTATAATTACATATATAAAAATATTATAATTATTATTACGTTAATACATGTGAACACATGAAAGTAACTTGATGAGTGAAACAATTTTAGAATTGTCACTAATAGTGCAAAATGTAGAACTCAACATGGTATACAGAAAATTATCTATAAAATTAGCCATGCTGAATCTAACCATTGATCGCTTACAAGGAATCTACTATTAAATTTGTATGTTTCAATTACGTATTAGAAGGTCTGTTGTCAGCTTCCGTAACAGTCTTCCACCCCTCCGTCAACCCAGCTACTGCACGGGAAAGGTTATTCTTGACTGATCTTCCGTTTATCTACAAGCATTCTGAATACTTCGTGTAATTGATGAGGGTCAAATGTCCTCTCCACACTGTGAACATTCAACCACTCGTTTGACGCTATACATTTACCGGCTACGGTGGTGGCTGTGAACTGCGGGGTCAGCGGGCTCAAAACCCGCATTGGGCACGGATAGTTGTTTTTTGCCGAGGCTTGGTGGGGCCTGTCCCAACCACCCCCGAGCACCTGTAATAGTAATGTGAGGGATGTGACTTGTTATGCCAATGGGGGAAACCCCCTGCTGTATGAGCGCAACCTGATCGCCTCTGAACCTCCTTGTAGAGTGCAAGTGCCGTTACGAGTTTACAAATCATTGGCGGTAGATAGTTCTTGATCACAATGAGCTTACTAATCGTACTTACGTGTGATAAAGTGGAGGCTAGTGGAAGGTATTCGTAAAGGAAAAAGGCAGTTAAGTTAACTGGATTCCAGAAATGTCAATTTCGACCCAATAAGGTTTTGTGACATGAAGCTCAGTGATTAATGAAATGAATGTTAAAATACTTTTCTTTTCATTGCATTGTAGTGACGTGTATGAAAATATACAAAGTTATTCGTATACTTATACTTAAAAAACGACCACAGTTTACTACACATTATAAGTATACATTTAACAATCGCTTTAGATAAAAGGTAATCGAAATTAAGGTGACGTTTTGAGGTTGATCTCGACTCTTATCATTCACATTCCTATCTTCATTTGAAGTAGTTGTGGGCGTTTGGTGCCAGCCCTGTGACTCTCCGGACATGAAACTTTCAGTCCAACGGAAACCATCAACTACCATCTACAAAATGGGGTAGAAATGCTGACAGCAGTGTGCTTTCTTCTGCCGACATTGCAGTGGCTGGCTGTCATATAGAAAAGTTACTTTTTACTTACAAATATACTTACAAATGGAAATTGAAACCAATTTCAATCTAGAAAATATTTTATTGTACATTTAAAATGTGTACGTGTCTGTTGATTATTATATTTTACGCCTTTTATTTTGTCAAAGTGATCATGTGATCATAATTGTACACTTTTAATTTAAGTACATTATTCTAGAAGGCTTCCTTAACTATTCTATTGACATTCACTTTTCAATGTATGCACTTATATTTGTTTTATTTAACATAGCAAAAACATATATTTCATTATTACTTCACTTTTAATAATGCCGGGGAGAAGTCTAGGAATGAGAAAGTGCTTCGTAGGTGTTTTCTCTATTAAGGTTAAGGTATTCTTGCAAATTTTGAGAGGGGATAGCAATTTACTCAATTCAGTCCTTAAATCATCAGGATAATTTTTAAAATTCTATGTTCTCATTTATATGCAATGAACATACAGAACTTAGTTGGAAACAAGACAATATTTTTAAGTAGAACTTCGTTACACCAGTTTGTCCATTTTTTGCAATTTCTTGTTTTTAACTACTTCTGAGCTAGCTGCACATGCAGAGTTTATGGTATAAACCACTCATGTTGTCACTTTTATAAATGGATGCACTGTTCCTTGCCAACAGTGGTAAACAAGTAAAAACCAGTGCCGTAGCGTGCACTTTTTTATGAGTAGGCTATAAACAACACATACGCACTTTCCGCTTCATAAATAATTTGCTGTGCCTAAAAAATTGAAAGAAAAATATGCAGCTTCCGGACATGTGAGAGGTATATGTGATTTCATTAGATACTCAGGATCTCGGAAGAAACCAAAAACAATTAAACAATTTCAATTTGAAGTGAAAAATGAAAATATTTTGTTTTATCACCTACTCTCACACTGTGTAAAAATTGAATTCTCAAACGCATTACTTACGTCACGCTTCAGAAAGGCTTCAAGGAAGAGCGCACGCTAAGAAATATTTGCTATTTACGTGTGCGTGACGGAACACAATTTTTTATTACACCTGATGTGCAAAGAACTAAAGTTTGTTTTGTGGATGGTAATGTTATTGCAGTACTCGCGAAGACTGTTTTGTTGAAATATATAATGTACTTTAGTAATATAAGACAATATTTTCTTTTTTCTTTTAACGTGCTACTTTTTGGAGAAGCGTTTGATAGTTGTATCCCACCTTCCAGATCGGAACGGCTTATTTTTTTTGAATTGATGAAGCTGGGTCTTTCCACCAGAAACACATTTAAGAACTGTGTGTTTTAATACATGTTCTCGCCAAAACTACAAATTCAGCTGCCTGAGAGCGTGACCTCTCTCTTTTCGCGCGCGGAGCTATCACGTTACCTAATGCCTACAGAGTGGGCGACCATTGATAATTCGGACCGGTTCCACTAACAATTGTGAAGTTGGAAAAACATTGATAACACAGCTCGCGAAAAAAGTTAGTTATAATAGTGCCAATACGTTGCAAAAGATTTATTAGAAGAATTGATTCTTTCGCATTATTAAGTTCCTTTCCCTTACAAGGGTGTTTCATGATAAGGTTTGTTATGATCATCCTAAAATATTTATTTTTAGCTTTGAGCAAATTTATAATAATCGATTGATTGGTGTTGGCCGGCAAGTGAACCACAATGGTAATTAGTCCCGTTAGTGTAGTGACTCTTTTGTCTCGGGAGACGCATGTGTTTCTCCTCCAACTAAATGGTGAGACTCCACATACGGGGAAAGTCCCCTCCAAGAATATCCCCCTAGCGAGGCACCGCCTCAGCCGGGACAATCGCTAACATCCTCTACTGATCTCCTGCCATGTGTTACAAGTAATGGTACCATGCGTAACGTTCAATCTGTACCAGTACGTACGTAAACTTGCGTGTACCAGTTAGTAGTGTAGTGTATGTGAGGGTGTGTGTAAGGAAGGAGTGAGGATAGGGCAAGGAAGGGGAAAGAAAGATCGCGCGCTGTCCGTGGCCCGATTGTTATGATACTGCTCTGGCATCCACCTGTTATTGATCGAAGAAATAACGAAAAAAACTACTGATCAGAGCGATCAGGTCGCGAGAATCCCTTCCACTCAGCGGCTGAATTCAAAGTGACTGAATTCTGCCGCTGTTCCGGGAAGCGACTGAATGTTGGACCAGAGCAGTCTTCGATAAAAAGATGCTCAAATTGCATGTTTGCGTCTCACAAACACGTATTGTGCACGCTTTGCAGGCTCCGAAAGCCAGAGTCTTTGATGGCATTCGCAATTAAGCGGGACAATACGCAATCAGTAACTGGCGTTTGCTGTAATCAGAGCGTTTGCGGGCCACATGAGATATATGGTATTGTGCAGTAGAAAAAAACAACAACAATAAACACAAGATAGTTTATTATTCATAATCATAGTTTCATATTCGTAAATTATTGGGATAGACTTTGCCTTGAAGCTTCTTATAAGTTATACCATTGCAAGTAACATTTCATAAAACGTAGAAGAGTGGCAATGTAACAATTGTTTTGTATAATTATGCAAATGTTTGAACTGAAAATAAATAGGATACATTTTTGCTCTAATGTAGAAGAGCTTCTATAAGAAGGAATTGCTTTGTGACAGGACGGGAAACAAATGATCGTCGTGCAGGGCGATGACATTGCAAGAGAGTGTGAGTGATGCAGCCATTTACTCGTACAAATGAGCTGTAAACTACAAATGCAGCTGTAAACAAATGTAATGACAAAATGATTGCATGGAGATAACTTGCAAATATATTTGCCAGCAGTGGCCAAGTGGTGGTTGTCAAAGTAGTCCTTTCATGTAGTAATCTCTTTACCTACTGTAATGTTTAAGCCTGTTTTACACGATCATTTTTTCACCATTTTTCGCCGGTACAGAAAAGATGTAATTTGTACCAAAAATGACGCATGCTTCATTTTTCGGTACAGATTTCATCCAGTTTGACTAACGCGCTCCTGACGTCACTTTTCGGAGCTTTCTCTAGGTTGTTATGAGTGTTGTGTGATTTGTTAATTTTCCAGAGCTTTCTGATGTGTTGAATTGTATTATATAGTGGGAAATAAGTAATGTACTGTGTTCGAATGTTGCGTTCCTTGCTCAGTCCTAATATAACGTAATTTAATTTGTAACCAAAGATGCGATGTACAAATATATGATCTTCAGCGCTATTTTTGGCGTCCTGAGGAAGTATTTTCATCACGATTACGTACAAAGCCCAGAAATGACCGTGTAAAACGCTGGAATCATATTCATCCAGTTTCGGCACCGAAACACTACGCGTAAAAACGCACCTCCTTTTCCCATCCACATTCTGTACACAATAATGATGAATATTGTCTCAATAATGATGAATAGACTCTCAATAATGATGAATAGACTCTCAATAATGATGAGTCTCGTCACGTAAAACAAGGCAAATTCAATTCAATAAATAATGAAAAAATGGCAGTGTAAAACAGGCTTTAGAAGGAAACGTCATGCAACGGTCAGGGGCAACTGACTCATCACTCCAAACCTCCGACCCGGAACCTACCGGGCCAAA